TCGGGGTCATCTGACCCCAGCGCTCTTTTCTGCCCAAGGCAGGGGGTCAGACTCGATCACCTACTGAGGTCCCATCCGACCCCAACATCTATGAATCTATGAAGATGTAACTGAGGTAGTGCAGTGAAAAAATGTGGGGACTTCAAACTGTCAACTTTCATGCTTTCAAATGTTTGGCTGTACTATAAATTTAAGCTTGGCTCAGAACTGTTTGGCTTTAAATAAGGTTTTTGCTCACAACAGCATTCTTGAAAATTTTTTCATTCAGTTTTGTACACTCAGTAAGTGTTTTACCTATGAATGCTAAAATGACCTTGCTTTAAAAGTGGCAGAAGTCTGAGTGCTAAACTAAACCAATCCAACTATGGATATGTTTGTATTAGACTGTTTATAGAGTTTTAGGGTTAGCACGCCTATGGAAAACAGATGAGCATTTCATGGTCCATACAAAATACAGTGCATGGATGTCTAGAAGACAAACAAGAACAGGAAACAATTCAAAATGTTTCTATTGCTCACTATCAAAAAGTTGGAAAAATGGATGCATTAGACTTCATCAAACAGGAAAAAGCAATAATCAACTGAAATGGATATTCTTATGCATGCAGAAGTGCTGACTAAGTACACAACGTTGTTCAATTTTCATTTAATATCACTTGCTTAATCCACGATCTTTAGCAATACATTTCTGGAAACTGACTTCAAAAATAGAATACTGATTTTTCAAGATAAACCAGACTATCCTTATGGTAAGCATGCACACGCACGCAAACACACAGAGATTAGATAATAATATAATATATTAATATGTAATAGAATATATAATGTAGGTAAAAAGAAAAAAAACTACTTCACCTAACTGTTAATAGAGCTCACTAAAAATAAAATACAAAGAAGAAACAAGAATATAAAGGTGTCTCACACTGGAAAGTTTATGCAAGAGTGCCACCTCTTGGGAGACAACAAGCAGGACATGTTAAAGATTTCTTGATCTCTTAGGTTAAGAAGGCAAATATCAAAACAAGATGCGTCAAAAAACAAGAATATAAGCCAAGTTTGTGTTTCCTTTCATGTTTAGCTAGATCATGATACATTTTAAAAAATAACCAAATGTTTGTATTGTAACCATGGATTCCATCCTTCCAAATGAAAAGTTTTGCCTGTTTGGTTGAAGTTTGCCCTGACTGATGTTTTCTCTGCTAGCAACTTATTCTGTTTGAGAGCTGAAGCAAAAAGGGGTCAATTTTATTGAATGAGTGAAAAATACTTTTCACTAAAAGGATTCATAATTACATCTTGGTAGAGTTATGATTTCAGGAAAAGGGAATGTTGCGGGTGCTCTCATCCCGTGGGCAGATCATGCTGTGGCATCATCTGCCAGTGACATTTTTGAGTCCCTGAAGCAGGTCTGACACCGTTACCTCTCCACCCTCCTACCATTCCCTGAACCAGCCCACCACTACCACTGTCCTCAGCTGACCAGAGGCAGGTGAGCCCTGGAGCTGCTCCTGCCCTACTCCAGCTGGGGGCTGTGGCAAGTGGCTGCTTGGGGTGCTGGGCTCAGTCAGGGATAGCAGCAGGTAGAGCCCACAGTTGCAGTGCCTGCTTCCTGTCTAGACCTTTGGGTGGTCCCCACTGGCCAGAAGCAGGAGCTGGGAGGGGGAATGTCCACTAATGCCATGGTCCCCAGTGCAGCCTAATACCTAATGCAGTCATTCCCTGCAGTTGGAGCTCCAGGCTCATGGGAGAAACCTGAAGGAGGGAACAGGGATTAGGGACCTGCTCTTTGCCACTGAATCCAGCATCCTGTGCAGCTGATCCTAATGGCCTCCTGCTGGAGCAGCATGAACAGCCTGGAGTTTCCCCCACCCCCATCAGCCAGGGAGTAGCGGCCAGTCTCCCTCTTCCTTACCTGCTCTGTTTTGGTCCTCCTGCATATCCCCTACCAGCCTGGAGATCCAGTTATGCTTTAGACACCACAGGGCACCCAGGCACCTGCAGCTCTGGGAAACTGGGGCTGACGGCAGGTAAGCCACACTACTGAAGGGTGTAACCATACTACTGCAGCCCCCTGGATCTGCCCCTGTTGATATATCTACAAATTTTAAACTTCAAACCAGTTACAGATTCGTTCTCCACTCACTTCTGAGTTTAAAGCCTCATTGTATTAAGAAACAGTCAGGTGAACAACAGAGCAATAGTACTTACAAAATGAAACTCCATAGGACTGAACAAGACACACTAAACAGGCTAGAGGAATTATTTATTTTGAAGCAGAAACTTTAATTTTTACAAAGTGCACATTTGAAAACAGTGGGACATTAAGTACAAAAATACCAACCTTCAGAAAATCCAGTAATGATGCTTAGCAGTAATTTGGACAAATATTCTACAGCAGCTGAAGACTAGTTTTTAAAAAGCAACTAACCCCCTCCCTACCTATCTCAATATTTTGACCCCATTTTCCTTTAATTTGGATCGGTGACCCATTAAAATAAAATCAGGCTTGCATGTGGAGAAATTTCTCCAGTGAATTGAATTGTTTCCTTAAGTGAAGTTTCCATCAGGTGTATCATGTGGCACTGAATAGAATATTAACAGATTTTGAGAAGTCCACGCATTACAGGTTTTTAGACAGCAAGGGAATTTAAAACACGATTTGCTCATTTAGGTTTTCTTCTCTAGATAAATCCTGTTTCAGAACTCAAATTTTAGGGTTATAAAATGCACATTTTACTGGCTAGTAACACTCTTCAGAGGATGCATTAAAATAATACATACCTTGCTGACAAGAAATTGAAATAAAGTCAAACACAAGCGTGACAATTTGACTAACTCACTTCCCATGATTTTTTTGGCAAGGGGCAAAGGATTATACCATCCATCATTGCAGGCTCAGTCATTTTAAGCTTCCCTAAAAGAATTACTTAATCCCCTGCTGACTGCATAGACATCAACCTACCTTTCACAGGTTCTATAAATTAAACCAAGAAGTGATATTCAGGGCCTCCTCTAGGTATCAAACTAGGCCAACTTGTACACCCTTCCTGCCTTGGCTTTTTTAGGACTGATTCAACTCACTAAAATCCATGGGAGTCTTTTAATTATCCTTAATGAAAGATGGCTTAGGCACTCTGCCAAGCTGCATTGACTCCCCTCTTTCCTTCCATCCTTCCTGTCCACTCCTGTGGAATCCAATGGGTCAAGTCATTCAATCTGGAAAGCTAGGGACTTCAGAGTTGGAAAGAAGGGACCATGAGTGGTGGGATGCCCAGTTTTGTTGGTGTGGCAGCAGTATGGCCAAATACATGAGGTCTTTTACACTAGAATGCCAGAAGCAATCGGATGCTTGAAGGCTGGTTCTACCATTACTGACCAACTCTCCTGGCGGCTTCCTGAAGTCTGGGCTCTTTTTAGAATTATCTCCTGTTCTCCTCCCTCTCCTGTACATTTCCTAGATGGCATGAAAAGTATATATGTAGATATTTTGACATTAACCTTAAACAGTTTAAGTTACCCTGATTGATTAGGCATAAATTGATGGTTTTGTCAGTTTCTTATGATTTTATTCCAAAGGTAAGGAGTCAGTTGTGTCAGTGTTCTCTATTTTTTCCCCCTAACAGGTAAGTTGAAGTCAGTTTTTGTAAGAAAGCAATCACTGCCTCATACCAGATTGAACATTTACTTGAAGGTTATATTCCTTTAGAAATCAAGATTTTTTTTATATTTTGACCTTTGGTTGGCTGAAAAATTCCTACCCATAGCAGGGTTTTGCTTAGGTCAGAGTAGAAAGAGTTTCTTTGAAACTATTTACAACCCAAGATCCAGCCAAGCTAAACTGACTGCAAGTATTTAGTGAAAAGAAAAAAAAAATATTAACACAAAATATTTTTGTGGAACTAACGGAGACAATTGTTTTAAAAAATGTTAAATAACTTAAGTTTTGTATACCTGCAAACAAAGCACTGGTAATGTAACAATATATATGATTTGGGAGAAAATATTCAGTGGTTAACTGTAAAATCCATTTAGAAATTATTTGGCCAGTTATTCATAACATAATGGATACAAAATTCTCGCTAAGCTTAACTGATACCTTAGGGTAGTCTTCTTTTAAAAAATATACCAACAAATGAATTCTCATGCAAAGCGAGAGACTGGAGTAAGGTATTATGTATCCACAGGTGAGTTTGGTTGCCCCTCTGTCTTGATTTGGATCTTTGTTAGGGAAGATTACAGTTCAATTTTCATGTTAATTTGCATAACTAATTAGTTCCAAATAAGCCTCAACTTTCTTCTCAGTTGGTGCAATTTGTGACAGTCGCTTCTGCAATACAAACAACTCTCATCCAGAAACTTGACTAAAACCATTGTTAATTTTAGAGGGTTTAAATGAAGGGTCATTAAAGAAGAATAAGGCTTTGGAACTTTAAAAACCTGGCCTAAGTTTGAACTAGGTACCTAAAAATAAGAGATTCCAAATAGCTTAACTGCATTTTCAGTGTTTCCTACCCAGTGCAATTCTTAGTTCTGGTCAAGGGTGTGGAGGCAAGTCATTTCCAATGTTTTCATCAATCAGGGAGTCAAGCCTAGCATAACCTAGATCTACAGGAACATTAGTCAACAATAAATGCATTATTTTGGTAATTTGTATCATTTTAAAAAGGACACTTTCACAAGTTATATTCTTGGAAGAGTTTATAAAATACAGCAATAGGTAACATCTTACTTGAAAATGTTTTATTTATTTGCACTCAGTGCCACAAATTACCTTGCTAGGTTTCTTCATGCTGAAGGCAGAACTGAAAAACTAATCTTAGAATCTTTAGAAATGTCAAGAATCACTTTAATGATTTCTCTCACTTCTCTAAAATAAAAAATGTCCGTCTCCCTGGATTACTAGGAAAAATAGATCCCATTCAACAAAGCTACTACACTACCCTATTTGGATGATTGCTTCCTGACACTTCCATACATAAAAGTAACTGTCAACAACCAAATTAGATAAATCTTTTAATCATCAGTCCCAAGGAAGACTTCATTTGACATGAGAAACAGCCCTTGTTGTTCTTCCCAGTGACTGGCTTTCAGTTAATAAAGATTAAGCTATTGTTAAAAGGTTAGCATTTCCTCAATTAAAAAAGAGTCAGAAGTAAGAACATCTCTATGTAGTTTGTGATTTACTATTAACTGCTAGTACAAAACCAAAGCCAAAAATATTATATTCCTTTGACACATAATATTCATTATTTTCAATATAAATGTGATAGGTGCGATATAGGCTGCTTTATGTTAAAGCTGAACTAAACTTTATTTACAGCATGTGAAACAAATGCTTACAAAGTCATTTAATCTATTTTTCTCAAAGCCTGAGTTGTACAAGGTATTTGAGGTAACATTTCTGAAACTGAACTCTGACAGCCGATGGACCAGTGGGACAGAACTGTTGTATCCCTTGCTTTAGCTCAAATTCAAGCATAATTCGAATTCAATCACACATAGCATTCATTATGAATCAGCTATTATTAAAGAAGCTCCATGCAACTAAAGATAATTTCCCCACACTTGTCTGGTAAACAGAATGGTATACAAAGGCACTGCTCCCAAAATTAAAAGCATATGAGCACAGGGATGTATTGTCTAGTAACCCATCACTTGGGATATATTATATTACAAGTAACAAATTATCTTGGAAGTCAAAGCCTTCCATCTTTATCCTGAACTTTGTATGTGAAGGCATGATTTAATTAAAGAATATCCCTGAAGTTAGTTAACACAAGTAGAGAATCCCTTAGAGCACTTCATTTTTAAAAATCAGAAAAAAAATTATCTACTAAGCCACAGTTGGTAAAATTGCAGTCTACCATTGAGCTTCATCTTTCATAGAAAAATGCTCAAGTGCATTATTTTTCTTAATGTGCTGCAGGCTAAAAATGAACCCTCAAGGGTTAGCATTGCTCTTCTTGTTGCCAGAGCAACAAAGCAATACTCACCTGAATATCTTCCACTGCAAGTATCAATTTACAATCTGATATGAAGTTTGTGCTGCTAGCAGATGTCACTAACAACATTTTTACTATAAGCCAAATTTTAGTGGCAAGGGATGCCATGAAAATCTCACACTGCAGGACTATTTCATTTCTGTTACCAGATTATTGCTCATGTAATTAACGCATTTCTATTAAAATGTCTTGACCAATGACATTCAAAAATGAAAGGGTGAACTCAAGGACTTTTATATGAAACATAGAGCATTAAAAAGCTTCACTGAACTACTCTGGAGAGATCTAGCTTGTCATTACAAAGCATACCTGGAACCCTATCCAATAATCTGACTGTTAAATTCCTTCCTTCCTTAAGAAAAAAGCTAAAGTAAAAGTATTTTAATAGTACACAATTTTTGCTCCTCAAAAGTAATAAAGATGGTGCGCTTTCTCCCCTGTGCTGTTCATCCAGGCTGTGCAACAATGGGTAAAAAAATTATTCAGACTTCAAGGAAAATGTGACAAGATTATTCAATATATTTCCTAAAGAAAAAGGAACATGACTTTGATATTACTAGCTATGAGCTGAGGCAAACCCAAGGAGTACTATATGGAGCTGGATTACAGAATTAACAGCACCGTTCTTTCCAAAATAAAATCTATTCCTTTGATTCAAACTCAGTGGAACCTTCTTTTACATTTTAGCACACTGCTCATCCATTTCAGTGGTATGAGCTGTCACTTAAATTGTAGACCTGATTTTCAAGGACAAACAAACGCTCTTAATGCTGGCTGATATTAATGGCAGCTGGTACCTGGCATCTCTAAGAATCAGATCTCATTGGCTCTTTGTACAAAGAAAAAGTTTTAAAAAGTTCAACTGAAATTAGATTATAGGACAGAAATACCATGATATATATGAAGGAAACTTAATCACTTGGTTCACCTGAGGAAACACAAGAGTTACAGCTTTCTTAGCATGATTTTAGTTATATGAATCTTAGGGCTGACAAAGGAAAAAAAGAATCTTTTTTAGTCTACAAGAATTAAAAAGGAAAGTTACATTGTTTTCTAAATGATAAAGAACTGCATCTATTAGTAGAAGCCTAATTATAAGAAGTTTTTATCATTCAAGCTGCACAGATTCTTGCATTCCTTAAATTCAATTTTTGATAAAGGTCAGTGAAAAATAAAAAGCAGAAAAAAAACTCAGAAATCCCTTCCTCCTCAAATTTCTAACTCCCAGTATCAAGAAAATCAGATGTCAGAACAAACTCCAACCCTTTTACTTAAATCCAACAAAAATGTAAAAAGAAAAAAAAGAAACAAGAGGCCCTTTTAAACTTTGTAATTTTTAAAAAAGTAAATAAAATTGGATTTCTGAGCCTACTTCCTGCACCACCTTTCTTAGCTACAAGAAAAGCCTTTTTAGGCTTTAAAGAAAGTACCAACATTTCTTATCTCTGTTAAATTTAAGTTTTATACCTGTTCAACTGAGATATGTATCTGGTCTATTATGCCTCCCCCCACCCAAAAAAATCCAAATCCACACACAAACATTTATTTAGGGCTACTAAACCAATATACTTTCAGTTTGTTATACAGGTTTCCCACTACTGTGTATAATGCGTTTTCACCAAGATGGACATATCACAAAAACTAAACTAAAAAATCCTCAATTGCTATTCAAGTTAAACAGCCAGTCAGCGTCACCAAAACTTCCAGAGTTTATTCAAAAGAGAAACACTTTTTATATTTATTGAACTTTCAGACTGCTGGGCTCAGCAAACATGGTTTCGTTTTCTCTTTAGAGATTTGCTTTACATTTTATTGTTTTTCCTTGCAATCACTAGAGATGCCAAGAGAGATGTAAAAAGCAACATCTTCCCTTAACAATTATCTGCTCTGTGACATTCACGTATAGTGAACCCTCTTCTACTCTAAACAGCAATGTGCCCGAATTGAGAGGGAGATAACATGGGTGGAAAACTAAGAGGATTTTTTTAAAAGTGATTATGTGAAAAGTTATTTTATAAACCTCTCAGAAGGATTAAGCAAAATGCTATTTTGGAAACAAGGGATTGCATTTTGTGCTACAGGATTTTCATCTGTTCTAAAACAGCTAAAAAGTAGCTCTTAGTGCCACCCACTTAACGATAGTAAGTGCCCTTTTCATTTTATCGAGGTAGTCTTGTTTTACACTAAGGCAGAACAACAGTTTGGCGTCCCTGTTTTCCCCTCCTCAAACTATTCTGGAAGGGCAGCTAATGAACAAAGACCTACTCAAATGACACCAGTAACCTCACTGTGAAAAAAGTCAGTTTCCTAGTCACGTAAATTGCTTTTGTTAGCTGCACAACACTGACCTTTCCACCTTCCCTATGCTGTAAGCACTGTTTTAAAATGAACTGATGTAAACCAAACATTATTTCTTTAATGTAACTAATGAGAAAACTCATTAAAACTTGTCCTCCCCCCCCACCCAACATTCAAGTCTTGATTAACATTAGAAATATTTGATGGTTCCTTTTCTTTTGGGAATGAGGAATGAGCTATTTTGTCTGGATAATGGAAGAACACCATGTCAACATTTAAAAAGGGTATGACTGGGAGCTGAAAGGCTCAGTTGTGGTATGATAGAACCAATCCAGTAACACAGCACTTGAAAAGTGGGTTTAGTGTTTTGGTTTGGAATCGGGTGTTAGAAATTAAAGCTTAAAAAATTATGACGCAGTATATGTAGAAAACTGTGATTTGTGACCAACAAAAAGGAACAAGGTATTCATTTCCTCTCCTAGGCTGGACACTTCATTCTTTGTTGTGTTGACAGAGTCTAAGGCTTCCCAACCCATGATCAAAGGGTCCTCATTTCCAGCGATGATGCACCAAGGATGACTCATCATTGACTACATCGTTGTTAGTGTAGCGATGCTTACACCGAGACGGGAGCAGCAGCAAGATGATCAGAACAAGGAGGATGATGCCACATATGCTCATGAGAACATAGGAGGCAATCCACAACAGTGGTTCATGGAAGGTTCCTGTGGAAATACAGTTGCTTGCTATATCTGCTGTTGAGAAAGGACCTTCTATCTCAGATACCGGAGAGCCACCTATTTCTGAGAAATTACAAGAAAAGAAATGTTAGAGATACCATCAACACTTAAGAAATCTTTCCTCATTATCCTTAAGTGGTCTCTACCTCCACCATATCTGAGCATATCAGTCTGCAGTATGTTCAGCTGCACAACAGTCTGGGGAGGAAATGAAGCACTTGCATCCCAATTTTACAAACAGAAAACTAAGGCACAGAAAGATGAAGAACCAGACCCATAAAGAGACAGACTAGGGTGACGCGCAGAATGGCCACCTTTAACTTTATTTACCTGCCTCCGGAGGTGGAATTCATGAACTCGTATTAGGGGTTTAGGTTGTAGCTGTGTTGGTCTAAGGACACAGGCAGACAAGGTTCCTTGGATGAATTTGATATCTTTTATTAGACCAACCCAAATGGTTGGAGAATAGTTATTAAGCAAGCTTTCGGGTTCAAAAACCCTTCGTCAGGCTAAGGAAGTTTCAGCAGTTGGTGTGTGCTCTTCCTGGATGGAATGAAAAGTAAACAAGCCAGGGGCTGGGCTGGCGAGTCAGTTGCCAGGCAGATTGTAATGTATCAAAAATCCAATGTCTATGTTTAGTCCCTGATCTCTAGTATCCAGCAGGTTGATGAAATGGAGCTCATAGGCTTGTCTCTGGGAAGTGTTGTGTAAGTTTCCCTTGAGGATCAGGACTGAGAGATTGGAGAGAGAGTGGCCCTCCTGTGAGAAATGTGCCCCCACCGGTAATTGAGTGTTTCTGTCTTTGATGGATTTCCAGTGTGCATTCATTCTGGTGCGCAGTTGTTGTCTGGTCACTCCTACATATCTTCCATCAGGGCATTTGGTGCATTGGATGAGGTATACTACATTCCTACAGAGTGATTGGGGACAGCTGGATACTTAAGAATGGGATTCATAACAGCCATCATCCTGAGGAGGGAGATAACCAAGCCAACTAGCAAAAAATGCTGAAGAGACATGTCATTCTAGCTAAATGGACAAGCTGGGGGATAGTGACACGAGACATGAGGATAGTGTGGAAGAGAAAGTTAGCTATGAAGGACCAGAATTACAAAGAAGAGTTTTAATCCAGTGTGGTAGGGAGTCTTCTCCACCCCCAGTGATTTGAAAAACAGGAATAATGGGGTTTGCATTACAAACAAGGAAGCCTGCCTCGACTGCTTCCTTCCGACACCCACACATTATGTAATCTGTGATGTATTGCCATTTCATTACATACAAACTCATTTGTTTAAAAAAAATATGTGCCTGTCGAACATTCTCATCCATAGAAAGCAGCAGAGAATTTCTCTGATTTGTGGCTAGGGTTATTCATTTCAGAGGCAGAATAGGCAGGTTCAACACAGCAAATTATACAATACATTTCATATCTGTAGCACTGTAGCTTAGGAAGGCTGAATATTTTCTAGTTTGCTTAGGGCAACTGAGAGCATAGACTTAGTACTGTTCCTGCATTTTAAAGACTCATCCTTAAGTAGTCCACCTCTGTAGTTAAATACAGCCCCCCATGGCATCTATACATAGGGTTTTTATGCAGGGCTTCTGCTTTTGATCACCATTTCTCTTTAAAATTTTACACACCCTTGCCAAATCAAAAAGACGGTGCCTGAGACAAAAGTATTCTTATATTTAGATAATTCAAGGTAGAAAACTGCAGGCATGATTAAGGAGAGGACCTATACAAAAGGGTGTTTCTGTTGGTTTCTCTATAGAAGTACAAAGACTGCCTGATAGTGCTGTGTACATGTGTGTACAAGAGATACAGGGTCTGAGGGTTATTTGTTTTTTTTGAAGTTTCCTCCCATTGCCTGCTTTGCACCCTGGAAATGAAATTTTATCTGCTTTTAACTTACTAAGTACAGTTACAAGACAAGCAGATGCATGTTCAGGCAGTTTAGTACGCAGTAAATTCCCTCGTGGCATTGCAAAGTTGGTCCCTTTCAGGCTAGGGTTATCTAGCTTTCATAAGTCACTTGCCACTATTGTCCAGAAATGCAATATTTTGAAGCAAACAAAAAACGAGGCACCTTTTTTTCCTCCTTGCTGACAGCCATTTGACTTGTGTATAAACTACTCTAATATTAAGGAAGCAACTAAAAAAAGGTTGGCTGACATTTTAGGTCACATTTTCAGACTATTCAACAGTAATGCAGTCCCCGGTATACCTGTTCCCTGAAGAGAAATTAACAACTGAATAAAAAAGGGAAGATTAAGAGTTTGTATAAACGCTTAATGTGACTGTGGATTGTTCCACTGGACTTGTGTATGCGTGTGTGCATGCGCACATGTGCTAATTTTGCTGGAATTTCTAGTCATCAGCATTTAGAATAAAATCCTAGTCCTAATCCTTAATTCTGGGAGTTTCACTGTGGACTTCAGTAGGGAAAGAATTTCATCTCTGGGGAAATGCCATTTTTATATTGCATGTGTATAAAACTTAAGAATATATAGTTTTAGAAACCAAACATATATTCAACACATACTTATCTCCCAGATGTATGTTTAAATTTAGTGTTGCCTGACAAATACATAAAATAAACAGTTTAACAGATATAGCCACTTACGGAGACTATCTCTTTAAAATATATATAATTTATGAAGTGATCAATCAATTTGGTTCCACTTATTTGGATTTAAAAATAGGAAGTTTTTGTGGAAAAAAAATCTCACCATTAACACCCCATAAATCATATACAAAGCTTAATCTTATATTCTTATCATTCAATACAAAAAATGTTTTTTTTTAAGGCAGGATTTAACAACTTGCAGAAATACTGTATAATGAGAGGTGCACTGTTAATATTGCATTATGTGAACGTCTATTCCTGATCTAAAACTGTACAGGAGCAGCTGCAGTTATGAATTTAGTCACCATCCTCAGCACCACCCCCAAAAAGGCTTGTCATCAGTATTCCAGAAAACATGATTTTTAAAAAATTGAATTAGATATTTAGAATCTGTAACACCTTGCTTGCCTCTCTCATCACCTTCAAACTTTCCAATTTCATACAGTGTGCTTCAGTACGCTCCTTTATGTCATATTGATTTGATTTGAAATTAGCAATATGTGAAACAAGCCTTAAACAGTCCTTTGAACTTTTGAAGGACTTATCTGAATTAATAAGAAGTATGGATTTGTTCGCTTGCAATAATCAGCTTCCTGAAGCCCTCAGACTCTTCTCAAACCTTAGTTTTTTCCCAACAAGGCAAGACATGAACTAGTAATATAAGTAAGCCATTTTTTATTTAATACTGAGCCAAACCTCAAAATTTGTGGTCTAATTTAGTCAATGGTTTTCATTCAGTTTTTATCTTTTTAACCAAAACCAGATTGATAAAGTACCTAATTAAAGTCTAATAATAAAGCTAGGGAATTCATATTTGGGATAAACATTGCATCAAATTATCAACCCTGCGTCACCATACAAAGTAGACATACATGTACATTTGTTCTATATTTCCCCAATTGTAAAGGCTTATGCCATCAGTAGTCCCAATTAAATTTAATGTCTCTGAACAGACTAAAAAGCCTCAACTAAAGTACATTTGTACAGTTGCTATGGAAGTCCTGGTTGGTTTCTGTGTAAAAGGCAGTTATGACACTTAATCCCTCCAAGCAATACTGACTAGTTTCCATGCAGAGTCATATTTTTTTCCCTGATGAAATGGGGCCTCAGATGGAAACCATAAACTGTGCAGAAATGAAATCACAGAGACTGATGTACACATTTGTTCACATTAGTATATGCACATGTGTACATACAGATTGTCATACCAGCACAATATCTTACCTCCGATAGTGCTTTAGATTATATCACATGATTTCAGAAGTCAAAAAATAATAATAGATATGAACAGTTGCATAAAACTAAACAATGGGATTGGGAAGAGGTGTGGGAGGTGGGAAGGGGAAGTTTTTTACTGAAACCAGTTAATGATCAGCTTGTATCCTCTTAAAAAGATTTTATTTTTATTTGATAAATACAGTTCTCCCTCTCTCTTTCTCTGTGTGGAGGAAGGGTTTTAGAACTGAACAATGTAGCCAAGTACCATGTATTTATGTACAAAGATATGGGGTACAGCAGAGTGCAAGATTTTAGCTCCTTGATTCTGATGCAAATCATGAAATACTTCAGAAGAGCTCAGAGGCTACTCTAAACTATGCCAGCTGGCCTGGGTCCCCTTGAGACCATCAGTCCAGCAGGGAAGAGCCAAGGCATCACTCTACTTATGCACCCACCCAGAGTTGCAGCTCAAGAGATGTAGGCATAGAAGTCAGTTATATCAACTCTATGCCTGTTGAGGACTAAAGGGATAAGAACAGGTTATAGAACTTGGTCTGCAGTAATGTTATTGTTATTTTCCATCTCCTAAATGCAGCCAAAATGCGTCAGTCTCTTCCCCATGCAGAGCTCTTAATTGAGCTGCCCACACAGGTGCCTAGATTTTTGCTACTAGGCTTAAATTGTTTACATCAATGGCTTCAGAAATGTGTTATGAATTTAGACAAATCCTTAAAAGGTCCAGAATCTGGGGCGTGTAAAGCCAGCACTGATCTTCTATTGCTCAGTTACACTGTTCCGTAAAGACTGAGTGCCTCACTATCCCTTCCTAATTTTGGCTAATCTATATATCTGTGTACCTAGGAACCATTTCCACTGCACATGGATCACAGATATTCAAGGTGTTACAGCCTAGGTAGAGATTGGGGTTTGGGACCAGTTCCCTTCACATTCTTCATCCCTTCCGTTTTGATTCTATATTCTTATGGCACCTTTTTAATGGCTAATATGTAAAAAAATAGAAAGATATCTATTAGCCACATTTAATTTGTGGATCATTTAGAAACAGGTTATTAAGCCAGTTCCATGGAATCAGCCCTTTGGTGAGGGACAACCAGCAATAGCTCTGTGGGCCTGTGGCAACCCATGGATTAGAGATTGTTCATCTGAAGAAGTGATTCACAAAACATCCCTCATAGATTTTGTTTGTTGTTTTGCATCTTGCTTCTAAGAGTGGGGAAAAGTGCAATTCTCATTATACAGTACCTCCTTATTAAATACCTTTCAGAAAAAGTTGGCTTTCCGCCTTTATTTCTCATTCCTTAGCAGCAACATTTCCATAGAACTATCAATGGCCAGTAAAAGTTGTATTTACAGCAGCTTGGTCATCTTAAAACTACCTTTAACTTCTTCAAAAATATTGCTGAAAGGTCAGAAAGGCAGATTTTTTTTTAAATACAGAAACTGTGTTGATTTTTCCTCCCCATAAAAATATCTTTATTGCATAATGCAGAAAGTTTGCTTTAGAATCTATTTATCTGCAAATTGTGGAGCCTGCAATGTTTCTTGTTGACAGATTAACCGATGCAGCTCCTATCTTGAAACACGACAGATATTTCTCACAAGGAGTCCCTCTCTTACCTGCACATGGACTCACAGCAAAGCCTACTCTCTTTTGAACTCTATCAAAGATGACATAGAAACCCTCCATAACTGTGGCACCAATAACCAGAGCGTTTGTGGAGGACGAGATGCCAAATCGGTAACATTCCAGGTTCTGTCCAATCCCAAGGATGGGTTGAATATAAAGCTGTTCATTAAACAAACAAGACACACAAACAAGAGACATAAAATAAGTAGCAGGAATGTACAGTATTTAGAAGATAACTACAGTTCAAAAACATGGATGCTGACAAATAGGGTGCTTTAACTCAAAGTATTCCCAAGATTTCGATTTTAAGTCACTCAAATTTAATTAAAAACAAAGAATAAACTGGAGTAAGCAAATTGTTGTATGATATGTAAGAGAGGGCAGAGGTTCAGTGAAGTCAATAGTTGGGACTTAGGAAGTCTAAATTCAAATTTGGGCTTTTGATTAGTTGCCACTTTAAGGTTATCTTCATGAAGAAAAAATAGGGGGTTTTCTTTATTTTATTTTGTATTCTATGAAGACAGTCAGGAACATGCATTCAACTTACAGAAACATTTAAATGATTAGGGTGCAATGGATCCAGAGAGCATTTCTGTCAGTTTCAGTCTTCTGAGTGAATAAACTTAAGTCAAATTTCACACACTTTTTACCAAGGGGATGGAAGACTGATAAGAGTTTCTCTCACATCCCCTACATTGATCCTTTGGCTTACTGTAAGCCTTGGCTATATTTCAAGTTAAGTATACATCTGAGCTTTGTTGCCCTCCCCCTGTGCTAAGTAGGGATGCTACTTAGGTCAGTTGATGTCCACTCTGCTTTTTCAGCATCAACTGCAATACAATCAGGAACCACACTTATGATGAAAACAGAAGTGAGTAGCACATTATTTTTTAAAAGCCAGACAGTACATAATCTATATAGGTTTATAATATTAATAAATATAAATTGACCAAGTTATGGAATTTGGCACAGAGATCATACAGGCCCTTTGCCAAAAGCATCATTTTCAGGAAAAGTGCATCTCATCATGGTGCCATGAGAAACAAATCAATTTGTTTTCCAAAGTAAGTAGGTCAGGGGTCAGCAATGTTTTTGGGCAGAGTGACAAAAACACCCACAACCTTGAATTGCTAAGTTGTTGGCATGCCTGGGGCGGATGGCAGGAGAGCTGTAAGGGGCCCGATCCTTGTTGTGGAAGCATAGCCCTAGCCCCTTCCCTGAAGAGGGGCAGAGGGTGGGAAGGGGAAGCAAAATGACTTCACATGCCACGCTCTGGCACATGTGCTGGGGGCTACCTACCCCTCAAGTAGATTAAAAACATCAGAACCGTACTATATTGGTGCCTCACGTAATTTGAGCTGCTTTATGAAGCGGGCAAGTCCCCTATGGTTCAGTGGTAGACTCCTTGTCTGCCACACAAGAGACCCAGGTTCAGTTCCCAGATGCTTATACAAATCAGTCATGGAGGCACCAAACATCTGGACCCAGTCTGGCCTTTGGATTCTGTCTCAGTGCCCCAAAGGGGGTTTGGAAGGTCTGGGCAGCCTCCACTCCTCCAAAAACTCCTGCCTAGGCATATGCATAGAAGGTCTGCGTGACCTCTCATGCATACACCATGATCAACAGTTGCCATGATGATGAAGTGGGCAAAAATATTTTTGAGAATTGTTCAAATAGCCAGGAAAAAAACGCATTGTTAATCAACAAAGTAAGGGGACCATTTTCAAAAAATTAAATGTGCTATTTCCCCTTTACATTTTTTAACTTCATCAATTGTTTGTCAGACAGAGTCCAGTTTTTCACTAATATTGTTAAAAACATTTTTCCCAAAGTATGAACCCCAATTATAATTAGCTACAATGAATTATTAGGTTCAGGCCTCACTACATTCATCAAAATAGTTTAAGTAAGGAGAAGAGAAAAGCTTTACAACAGTGATAAAAACTAGGGTGTCAAACTTCTGATTTTATCCAAATAATAAAACAAGTTCATGCCTGTGGTAGGATAGTGATCCGAAATGATCTGCTTGAGTTTTCGTCTCTCAGGTAGATGGAGATTTTAGGAAATAAGGACCAGGGCTTTTCAGTTTTGTCCCAACATGCAAGCTGGGAACCTGTCCAGAATCCAGAAGAGAATTCTTGGATCTGTGGTGAGAGAGATGGGGGGGGGGGAAGGGATATATACAAACGACATTCTCTTTTAGATGCTTATAATGATCTAGAACTTTAATCCTTAGTATTCCCTGAGTGCTTTCTCCCCCTTAAATTATGAATGCTGTAAGCATCCTAATCTAATAATAAGCCATTCTGAAACATGGGACTGATTAATGCAAAGGCTGTTTACTCAAAAATCTTACTACTGAATAACATAAGGCCTAATATATCTAGTGGCAGTCCTCTGGAGGGACTGTGGGACATGTCTATTTCTATTAGATGTACAGATAAAAAATAAGCTTAGCCATACTAGTGGAAAGAGAACAGCTGCAGTGAATACAGAGGCCGGAAGGTCAAACTTATAAGCTCTCTTGAGTGATTACTACAAAAAACAGGAAAAGTACTAACTGACCTTTGCTACTTCTCCACCCCCTCTACAAACTTGCATATACAGCTGGGACTGAACAGAGTTTTTTGGTTTTTTTTCTTTTAAATGTCAGTATCTTTTAAACATGAGGTCATTGGTAAATTGTTCCCTTCCCTGTACACAAACTGTTGCCTTGATGCCACTTTCAAGGCATGAAGTAAGGGCCTGATCTCAACTCTCTTGCTGTCATACCAATTCTTAGCAACATAACTCGAAAAACTTTTAAAATCAAAGTTGATTAACAGGGTTTCCCCAACATATCCAAGGCACCAACAAAGCAAACTAAACCTCCTTGTAGAGTTTTTCCACTTAAAAACAAACATCCTGTCTAACATTCATGCTCCTTGAAGCACAATGTTGATCAGATGCCAGGCAAGACAAAACAAAACATTTCCTTAATCAAAGGTAGTACTTTGTGCGTGTTCCTGTTTCCTTAGGAAGCAGCACACAGACCCCACAATACTTTGCTGCAAGAGACATTGAAACCATTCTGTTTGGGTTAACAAAAATACTATCCCCAGTTATTTCTTGTGCAGTTTATTTTTGCATATTCATTGTATAAGCATTTCAAACTAAAACCATGTACTTTGAAATTAGGTATAGGAAGTTTCAAAGGTGACATGCTTGCAAAGATGACATGAATATGTTAATAAAAACCCTAGAGTTTGGTAGTTAGCATACAGGGGTCCACTCTTTTAGGACTTCAACCTTTCCTAATGCAGTCAGTTATAGGACCATGGTTACATTAATAGTTTAGCACTTTGCTAGACCTTTGTAAGGTAGAAAAATGCTGATTTCTTGAGTTTTTTGGGGTGAAGGTGGGGGAAAGGTTGTTTTGTTTTTTGAAGGCATGGGGACAGAACGTTACAGGTTAAGGATACAAAATACAGGTTAGGGATAGAAGACTGGGGTTCCTCAAAACTAGGTTAGTACCCTAACCAAGGTACCAGCCTTTGCATTCTCATGGCAAGATGAGCTGCTCAGATGATAATAAATGCTTTTTCATCAGGTGCCTAGATTTCAGCTATCTTGCATTGCTACATGTGGGAAAAAAGTAGATGCCCTTGATTCTGAGGGAAGCCTTCTGCCAGCTCATCTGCCTTCTGGGCTGCTACAGAGCCATGCCCCTGGGAGTTGGGACTTCCAGGGTTTCTACGCTGCTGTGAAGAGTGGAAACTGTCAGGCAGGAAGTAGGAGCTACAGACAGCTTGGGTGCTGGGACCACTGAGTTTTGAAAAGTTTTAAAGGAACATGGGGCTTTATATGAAGCACCATAGGGATGGCTACTGGGAACTCAGGGCAAAGTGGAAGCAGTGATTTCTGGTTGCTATTGTGATGGTGAATGCTGGTAGAAGCTGGGTTTTTTTTTCCCACTGCCCCTCTTCCCTCCCTTCTCAAAGTTGATGCCTGGAGTGACTGCCCCTTTTGCCCCCTCCCCCAAGTTACACCGGTGGTCAAATGCTTTGAAGTCAAAACTTACAGTCTCCTGTTCCATGGGAAATTTCAGAAGAGCAAGTTCCAATGCTTAACAAAAATATTAGTGTAGTTTCAGAATTTCCCCAAGGAATGGGAATTCCCTAGTGGTAAAAAATCCCTTAAATGATGCCAGTGTCCCTCCCACATGACATACAGGAACAAGTTATTTTAGACAGATGTCTGAGGACAAGGACATTATACAAATCAGCATTTGGAGAAATGCTCTCAGATGCTAACCTGCTCATTTCCACATACAACTCTGAAACAGCTGAAATGCCCATGGGATATGCTCTGCTATGCCCACTGCTATGCAACAGGGCTGCATATTGCATGGTGCTGAGCACTTTGATCCTGAGCCAGCAAAGCATTTAAGTGCACGCACATGCACACGTAACCCCTGCCCCAACCCACCCTGCTTTACTGAAGACAAAAGACTACTGTGTGCTTGAAGATTGCTTAGGCCTGAGTGGCCAACATGTGAGAGGATGGGGCCCCCAGTCTGTCTTACTGGAAAAATACCAAGATAGAAAATATTCTCTCTCTCTCTCTACCTTCCCTGGAGTAGAAAACAAATGCTGGTCTGAATAAAATGCAGACAGAGTATATGAAGCCTGCAAAAGTGCTCTCTTTTGAATGCATGCTTTGATTTCCCAGAATGATTGCTTAGTACATTACATTTACCTGTCTTGCTTTTATATGCTAAACAAATGTATCTTGGGATGCAGACACATGGCTTTATGCTACATAAACAGACCAAGCATATAACTGCAAATAAATTATTTTAGCGGTATTTAAGAGTTCCTCTCCCTACTTATTCACAAAATGTTAATCTAAGCAAGCTGATAGTTTCAACATGCTGTATTTCTGGAAGGCATTGTTTCAAAGTACTACAATGGCACAATGGTGCTATTATTGCATTATATAAATAATTCACTAAATACCATCTCTGATACTAACTCTTACTAAGGAGTACCTTACTACACAAATGGTCCATCTGCTTAGAGCTGTGCACATAATTCAAGTTTTTGGTTTGGTGGCTGCAACAAAATACTGTTTTTCGGTAAACCCCAAACCATTCCACCCCCCACCCCCCAACTAAATGATTGCTGATTCAGCAAACTGAAGCAATTAGTTTCGTTCTGGGGCATTTTAATAAGAAACAACAAAGCAATATGGGTAAAATGCAGAAGGCAATAGTGCCCTTTCCCCTTAAAACCTTTAATTCAGTCTTCAGGACATTTACTTGAGCTGTAGGAGATGTTGGCTTAAATCACCAATGTGCCCAATTTTGGGCAGAGATTTGTATGATGGCATAATGAGACCTGTAAGGAGTTAACCAGATATTGAATGAAGTCTGTGCAACTCTGATAAGAGGCACAGTTGTAAATGTTTGCAGAATCAGGCCTGTATACTTTATGGATGCTTTTTTTTTTTTTTTTTGAAGGAGCAAACTAAATGTTCAAGCTCAGTGCTCTGAATTTGAAAAGGAGGGATTATGTTAATATTTCTGAAATGCAAGAGAGCAAACATTCTACCTCTATATTAGTCTGAAATCTTTTTCTTCTTGATTTGGGAACTTACCTTTAGTGGCATTGGCAGGAAGCTCATGTTTCCAACACCTGTTTGTGACCCGCAATTTGAGAGCCCAAACGCTCTTAGGCTAACCAGCACCTTAAAAGATTTCCCCATACACTTTTTCCAAGAATCAAACAATGGAACAAGACCAGTTTTTATAATAACATCAGCTTACCGAAGATGTACGAATAATAGCTTCCACAACAGCAGCGAAGACTTTCTGGGGTAGGCGGAGGAGGGTGGTGCCGCTGTCTACTATCGCCTTATCTGCATTATACTAAGAAAAAGATAAGCAACACAGTTAACACACTGCATGCAAATTAAGGCATGTAGTCAGTAATTTTCTAATAATTACTAGGTTGCTCCTTTTCAGTATCGGTCTTCATAAGCATCTGCTACACGTAATCTGGCAGAACTCTACAGTTGGCAGACCAAGTTAAAAGAAGGAAAAAGGACGAAAGCACAAGACATTAAAATAAGGCTTCTGCCATGGTGGTAATGGCTCACCACAACTTGAGTGCAGAACAGCGGCCTACTATATCAGGACCCATAGGATAATGTACCTCATTTAAGAAACAGTGGGAAGCAATCCTCACTCCTGCTTGCAATACAGTACTAAGTCAGTATCAAGGGTGCAAAAAATAATGTACCTTCCTATCTGTCTTGGGGGTTTAAAATTCTCCAGAAGAGTCAAAAGTGTAAAAGCAACTAAAAACAAACTGGTAAGTACAAGTCTTGCTACACTATAATCCAGGGGTGGACAATTATTTTGACTGGAGGGCTGCTTAATGAATTTTGGTGAGCTGTTGAGGGCCCCAAGGGTGGTTCTGCCCCTTGGCAAGAGCCCGGCCCCCCTGGTTGCCATCTAGGGACTGGAAGTCCCACCCCTAAACTCTGACCTTTGCTATCAGAAGTCCCTCCACTTGGCCCCAGAAGTACTCCTTCTGGGAAGGGGGTTTGCCATCTTGGAACCAGAAAACCCCCCAAATTATACACTAAAAGTCAAACATTTGTAATAACGTATTTTAATTTTATTAAAAAAATATATATTGTCCTGATTTGCTTGTGTTTGCACTGTATATATAGAAGTGATTCCATAATAGCTCAAAATGAAGTCTTATGTTTGTATATGGGGGTGTGTGGAGGGGCATGGGGGGTATGAATGGGTGGGTAGCTGTGGGTGGGTGAGTGGGTATAGGGTTTGTGGGGAGCTGTGGATGTGTGTGTACGTAGGGTGTGGGGGTATATGTGGATGTGGGTGGCTGTGGGGTGTGCGGATGCATGTGTGTGCATGTAGGGTGGGATAAATGCTTGTGTGCGCACGCAGCCACACTGTGGCACTCAGGCAGCGAGGACCACAGCTGGCAGTGTGCAGAACTGTGTGCAGCTGGTAAGTCCATTGTGGTGGAAGGGGAGGGGGAAGAGAAGGGATGGGGGGGTGCAGATCAATGGCCCCTGTGGTAAAGGAGGGGACAGGGGCAGGTGTGGTCCAGCCAGGGTGAAGTGGGGCGTGGGACGGAGTCATGACTCCTCGGGCCGGGGGGGGGCGGAGATTGCTGTTGGT